GTCGTTCACAGTCATCAAGGTCACAGAAGGACACAGTGGGCAGGCAGCAGGGTGCACGCCTGGCTCTGGGTGTCTGCGGCCCCAGCCTCTCCCCGCAGTGGTCCTGTCGCTTTCCCTGCCTGCTGCTCATCCCCCTTCTATGCCTGGACGTCCCCTAAACTTTGCTGCTTTGCAAATGGGAAGCAATCGGAAAAGTGCAAATGAACCGTGGCCTTTTGGCGATCATTAACTTGACCCACTGGCCTTTGGAAAGGAAAGGCCAGCTGCTATTAGCTTTAGGGGTGTTGAGAGCAGCATCAAATATCAAAAGGCTATGGCCAAAGGAGGGCTGCGGAGGAGGTGGTGGGTTCACAGAAAAGTGGACGGGGACAAGGGACATGGGACACGGGACATGGGACACGGGACACTTGCCCTTTCTGGCTGTTCTGTTCGGTGCTGGGGATGGGAGCAGGGCCTTAGTGAGTGCTCGCCACCGTGCCATATCCTGGTACCCACACCTGTGCACAGTAGATGTGCAACAAACACTGGGTGTGCAGAGACCTGGTGAGGTCACTTCCAGGATGCTTGGGTGATGGGGCCGGGCCAAGGCCACTGTCAGGGGCAGAGCAGACCCCTGAGCCTGGCTCTACTGAGCCCTTCCTATATGCGAGGGCCCAGAGCAGAGCCCATGACAGCCAGCCCCTCCCTCAGAGCGGACAGTCTATGGGGCACAGATGACAGGCTGGGGAGACAGTGAGGCAGTCAGGAAGGGGATGCGCACTGTGTGGTGGGAGGCCCGGCCCAAGAGGCCCCGCTTCCGGCAGGAACGCAGAGCAAGCGGCTTCCCAGAGGAAGTGCGGTAGGAGGGGATCAGCAGCCAGAGGGCCTGGGAGGGGCCGGGGTGGCTGCTCTGCCCAGTGAGGCCTGGGCCCCTGCTCGCCACCCGCCCACTGGGGAGCAGGCTAGGCATCACCCTGAGAAGAATCAGGGTACACGGGCCTGGGGCTGACCGCAGAGGGCCTGCTTCCAGCCCTCGAGCTTTGCGCGTCTGCCAGTGAGCTGGGTCTGGGCCCTCCGATGCCCTGACTGTCACCTGCACAGCAGAACTGGAAGCTAAGGTGAGGAGGGACAGCAAGAGGGAGGAGGGAGGGACAGAGCCCTGGCAGAGCCCATGGCCCACCTAGAACCTGGCAGGCCACTCTCAGCACCCGCACAAGAGCCAGAAAGAGAAAATCGGGCAGTGGACCTTGGCCACCCTGAGCCCTGTTCGTCCCGTCAGCCACTGGCTACAGGAAAACATCTTCAAGTCACACACCCGACGAAAGGCTTGTTTGCAGAACATGTAAAGAATTCGCAAAGCCCAATGTCTAGAAAGGCAGAAACGGGGCTAAAGACATACAGGCGGGAAACGAGTGTACCAAGAGCTTCAGCAGCATCAGCCGGCAGAGAAAAGCAAATCGGATCCAGCGGTGCCGGCACACACCTGTCAGAGCGGCAGAAATGAGAGGCCAGGACAACGCCGAGTGCTGGTGCAGATGCAGAGAGACGGCCGCTCACAGGTGGCTGGGGACACATGGACATACGCAACAACTTGGAAGGACCTCAAGGCAATTACGAGGAGCGAAAGCAACGTCAGAAACCTGCATTCTGCGATTCTGAAATAATGCTAGGCGTGGGGGGAGGAGAGACAGCTGTGGGGGAAGGGTTTACAGTTACATCCTGATTGCAAAGCTGCATGTGTGACAGAACTGCACAGAGCTGCACTGTCTCTCTGTCTCTCTGTCTCTCACACACACACAAACACACACACACACACACACACACACACACGCTGAATAGCTTCTATGCCCTGCAGCAATGCCAACTTCTGTTTTGCACGATGTAAACAACAGGAGGCTGCAGGCAGGGTACAGGTTCTTGGGGCCGCTCTGTCAATGTCTTTAAAACTGCCTGTGATCCTAGACTTATTTCAAAATAAAAAGTTAAACATCCAGTAGGAGATTGCACAGATGATGGTCACCACCCAGTGGAAAGTCGGTAACATAAAACCCCACGGGGACACCTCACTGCGTCCACTCCCTGCACCACAGGACCCAGGCTGCCCAGGTGGACTGCGTTTCCCAGCAGCTCTTGCAGCTGGGCTGCCGGGGATGAAGCTTCTACAAAGTGCAGGAGGATGGCCGTGTGCCAGGGCTGGCAGGGATGCCAGTGTGTGCAGGCTGGGAAGGTCGTCATTCAGCTTCTGCCATGCGGGGCCCATCCGAAGAGGGCAGGAACAGGGTCCCAAGAGGAGGCACAGCGAGAACGGCCTGGCCCACCGGAGTGCGTAAGCGCAGTGGGTAAGAGTTCATGGCCTTTAAACCACCGCCCCTCTGCGCCCCTGTGTGCAGCAGCTTAGCCTCTGCCGAGTGGGAACAGTGCACAGCACGACTGCGTGTTCTGGTGAATGCGTTCATCACCATAGGAAGACTTGGGAGATGGAATCACCAAGGGCCCCAGTGATTACCTCCAGCTAGTGGGGTCAGGGGTGCGAGGTGCCTTGCTTCTTCACATTTCCCATTTCCTGCAAAAGGAACATATGGATGCCTTTAGTAATTAGGAGAGCCAGCCTAGGGCTGAGAGGAGCCAGGCAGCAGGGAGCCCCTGGGTACCCAGGCCCACCGGCTGGCGGGGAAGCAGCCTCCTCCTCTCCCCCTCAGTCCCCCATGCCGCTCTCCTCCCTACTTCCCGTCCCGTCTTTTCCTTTCCCTGGTCTACATTGAGCCTGGGAGAAGCAGCCACTCGTCCCCAGTGCACCAAGCCCCGGCTCAGGCCGCCCCGAGGAGTTGGTCTCCGGCTGGCATTTCACACTCAGTGGGCAGAGACAGGCTGGGGAGCTCATCTCCCCGCTGCCAGGGTGGCGCTGCACTGCGCTGTGCCGCGCCCAGGAACTTAGTGCTTCAAGCGTGAGTAGTAGGCAGCCACGAGCCTGCAACTTAAAATTCTGCTGGAGAGTGAGCCATGGAGGTCGCTTCTCCCCCAGGGAGCTGGGGTGCGGACGAGGGCCGGAGCCCGCCTAACCTAGAGCAAAGCCTGGTTATTCGCCGAGCAGACAGATGGCTCTGCACGGCCGCCAGGCCTGGCTTCTCCCCTGCACACACTGTGGGCCCGCACGCACCTGTGCATGGCAGGGCTGGGGGAGCGTCTCTGGGGTGCCCACAGGGACGACAGGCCAGGCGTCCTGTCCTGTCCTCCGCTGGACCTGACAGCTGGACGGAGCCTCCTGGCAGGGTCTCAGGGGGCTCATGACCATCCTGACGCCTGACGCTGCCTTTCCTTTCCCAGCTGGGGTGACCTTCAGAGCTGCTCGATTTAGCATCGGGCCCACTCTGACACCTAAATGCAAAGGCGAACTGGCGCATTAACACCGAGAGATCATCGCTTCGCGCCGGCCGTGGTGTGAAGTGTGAAAACATCACTCGATACCAAAAGGCCAATTCCCAATTTAGTTCAGATAAAGAAATCTGGACAAGCTCTCCTAAGCCTGCTCGTTGCATGCTGTCAGCTCCTCCTAATGGGGGCCTGGGTGGTCCTCGGTACCCTGGCCAGCAGAAAGCCCCTCTGCCCGGGAGGGAGCCCTGGCCCCCCCAAGTCTGCAGCAACCTCAGTCAACACCTTCCCTCTGCAACACACAGAGAGGCCCAAAGGAGCCCGGTCCTCCGCTTCCACCCGATTGAAATGCAAGAGCCGCCCTCCGCCCTGCCTGGCCAGTCAGCCATCCCCACCCGCCCAGGGTGTGCGGAGGAAGCTGCTCCACTGGGTTCCTCCTCGAGACACAGGAGGGAGGCTGAGTCAGGCCCTGCTGCTCCATGTGGCGCCTTCCTGTAATGGTCACTCGTCCCCCAAGGAGACCAACAGTGCATGGAAGCCCTTCGCAAACACCTTCACCTGCCACACAGAGGGCTGTCTCCAATGATGGTGAGGCGGAAACAGAAACTACGGCCACCAGCCTAAGCGGGAAGTGTGGCCGCCTCGGGTTCCGGCCCCAGCCACTGGCCCGGCGGGAAGGCTGAGTCTCCGGGCTCACGGGGTCAGGTGCCATTGCAGGGAGAGCCAGACTCCCCATGGCTTCCTCCTGAGAGCTGCCGGTGTTCCTCACATCCCAACGTCTCTGCGACAGTCCAGAGGCCCCCATCATCCTGTGCACGGCCACACGCAGGGTCTGAGGAGACCACCGAGAGGCGGTGCGGCATCAGGACGCGGTGTTATGGGCTCAGCACCAAGACTCGAGGCAGGACAGCGCCAGCCCCCGGAAGAGGCGGAAGACATTTCAGAGCAATGAAGGCCGGGATGAATGATTGCGTCTCACAGGGCCGTCCCTGAGGCCTGGGCCCTCACTGAACTGGCCGTGTGCGCGCTTTTCTCAGGGGCTCATGAGGCAAGGTCAGGGGCACGAGGTGATGAGCTCGGGAGCTTTCTCCCCGGCGCCCCTCTGTGGAACGGGCGTGGCCCCTCCTGCTTCTGCAGACCTAGTAAGGGACCTCAGCCACTTCCAGGGCAGAGGCCTTGAAGGACATGACGGGGTGGCCTGGGTGGACGGAGGATGTGTTTCGAAGCCCCCACGGCAGTCACGTTGCCGGGGCAGGGCCGTGTGCGGAACGGTACTGGCCTTGTCCCTCTTCGCTACCTCCCGCCACCCTCTGCTCCCTTCAGCCTGGGAATCGCGCTGCCCTCCTGGCTGCCTCCTTCATAGGCATGGCCTGGCTCTGTGGGCTGGGGTCAGGCACAGAACGAACCAGGCAGATCTGGCGGGAGTGGATTTGCAGGAACTAAATAACGGTCAGAACGGGAATGGAGGGCTGGACACACAGCGCCTCCCGAGGCTGCTCCCCCTCTGGGGTTCAGCACACAGAGGCCGGGTGCCTTGCCCTCCACCAGAACGACCCATTTCTCAAGGCGCTTGAACTGCCTTAAACAGACTGCTCGGCATTCAGGAGTGGAATGGAAAGGGGCCAAGAGAAGGGAGCCAAGGCCTTGTTCTGGGTACAAAAGGTTTATTGTTTATAAATATGTTACAAAACCAAAACAAAACAGCCCCGTGGCACAATGTACATGAGCGCAGGGGCGCAGGCCGGTGACAGCCATGAAGAGGATCAGGGCCTGCGTCCTGGCTCCTAGGAAGAGCATCGCGTGCTGCCGACTGAGAGTCCCCTTGCCTGGGGGGGCAGCGGGACACAGCTGGGGTCGCGGCCGTCGCTGGGGTGCTGTCCTGCAGGCTGGGGGCTGGCAGGTCACTGGCGGCAGGTGTCGTGGAAGGCTTCGAGGGTCCGGAAGTCCCTCCAAGTTGGGGGAAGGCCGTCCTGCAGGAACTTCCCACAGCGCTGGCAGGGCGCCTGGAATAGCTTTATGTAGCTTCTTAACCAGGTCTACAAAGAGAAGCGACGGCAGAATGGGACTGGGTGCTTCCGCACACTCCCACCCAACAGCACCTCAAGCGATGCCCAGGGATCCCGCTGGAGCCGAGGCCACCTCACTGCTGCGCTCAGCCTCGGGCCCCTCCCCTGCGCACCAAGGAGCTCCTCATAGAAGCTGTGGCTCTGCAGGCCAGGGGCCCCTGAGTCTCCTGATATCCCACCCATCCCTTCTCCTTGCTCCCCACCCAGCTGCGGCTGAAGTCTCGGAATAGACGATGACGCTGCCTCCGGCTAATCTGATTTGAGAGGTCATCACTCGCTGTCACTGTGGCCTAACACACCGGGGGGGCGGTGGGAACAGCCCTGGTGCCACCAAGTACATAATAAGCAGCTCACGCGCTCGAGCAGTTCAGAGAGCAGTTGTTCCGGGCACCATCCATAAGGATGAGGGCCACGTAACTCAATTCTCCAGCTCAAGGAGATGCAGCGCGGACAGCCGCCCCAGGAGCCCGCCCCAGTGGCAGCGCTCCCTGCGAAGGGGGGCACGTGCACTGGTGTCGGAGCCTCCTGAAGCATGCTGGAGAAACCCCGTTGTGTGCAGATCCCCAAGTGCCATCCCAAGGCCTTCTGGCGGCAGAGTTCAGGTCTGGATGACAAACACAGCCTTCATGCTGAAGCCTTCTCTCAGCTGAACTGCGCTCTGCACAGATGCGCGCCCTCTGTGGTCCCCACGCCCTCCCCGAGCCACGAGGCCACCGCAGCTGGGCCCGTGTCTATGCTCAGGCTCCCTCGGAAGCTTAGGTTTGGGGCCCATGTGACAGGAGGCGCCAGGTGCGCAGTCTCCTGCCGGCCATCACCCTGCTGGACCTGCCCCTGGGCAGGGTGTGCATGGCGGGACTGTGTGTGGTGCCCAGACATGGGAGCAGGAGGCCATCAGCACAGGGCCCGGCACAGAGCTGGAGCCGATAAGCTCTAGGAAATCAGTGCGGACAGTTAGGGTCACTGCTGAGAATGCCACTTGTGCAGCGGGGCCTGAACCTCAGGAGCTGGCTGGGAGTGGCTTCTGTGCCTCTCTTCCCCGAGGAGGATGGCAGCCCCGAGGCCTGGTCTCCCCCGCAGGCCGGCTGTCCTCACCAAGGGAAGCCAGCTTGGACTCACCATGAAGGACCTGACCACGACGTCTGGCATCTGGGGCAGCTGGTAGTGCAGCAGGGCGGTGGTGGCGTGGTCTGTGACCTGGAAGTGAAGGACAGTGACGAGTCAGCAGCCACGGAAAGCCGGGGCAACAGACGTGTGCTGCTCTCCACACGTCCCTCAGGGGAAGGACATCTAAAATGCAATCCCAAATGGGAAGATGAGCCAGCAGAGTGGGCCGGGAGGAGGCAGGCGGAAGGGACGGGGGGTGCATCTCCCACCCACCACTGCCTCCTCTCGGTGGGAAGAACCTCGCCACAGATGGTGCAAAGGTCCGTCCTGCTTCCAGGGCCACGGAGGCCCCAGATGGCCATGGAGGGGGCACTGGGGTGCAGCCCGGAGCTGTCCCCGATCCTGACCCAGTGACTCATCCCCGAGTCTCAGGCCTTTCTGCTGCGCCAAGATGCCCTGCAGTCCTGAAATGTGATGACACCACAAAACGCTAATGCCACCATCAATCAGCAAATTAATAGATTCTGCTAATTTGATAGCTGTGCTCAAACTAATGGTTTATTTGATTGTCCTCATTAGGGACTCCTGCCATTATAAATGTGGCTAAAGAACAAAACAAAAACTGCAGATAAAATCACTCTGCAAACAGGAATAAGCCAGGGGTGATTTGTGTGCTGGACAAGGTGATGCGCCCGGGCAGCAGCTAGGCACACAAGCAGGCGGCGACGGAGCTGGCCCGGCCGAGGGGGTGAGCCACCCAGGACCTGGAGTCAGGCCGGCCACCGTTCAGTCCTGCGGCAGGGCTGCACAGCACGCGTGAGGACAGCTTGCCGGCCCTGCAGGAACCCAGCCCGTCTCCCCAGACGAAGTGGGGGGTGCAGGGACATGGCCTCACCCGGCTGGGGACAGGCATAGGAAGCGCTGGGCCCACTGTCCGCTCTTCCTCCTTCCCAGGTGACTGTCCCCACAGCCTGGATATCTCGGGCGCACAGCGAGTGCTCAACATAGACTTGCTGGAGAAGGAAAGAAACCGAGGCTGCACGGCCTCCCTGCCAAGGCGCCGTGTTCGCGTGTCCCACACGGCTGAGGAGTTCTCACCCGGTGACTTTCAAGAGACTGTGCTCACTCCTCCACGTGCCAAGGCTGCATTTATTTTAGGCGCCTTGACAGACAGCTTTCTAAAATGAGCAATGCTTTTTGTTTTTTGAAACAGTAGTAATGAGAACTCTGAAAGTACTGGCGGAGACTGTCGGGGTGAAGCCAACGGATCTGAAGCCCAGTGGAGCAAACAGGGCCGTGGACCCGAGGTCCGGCATGGTCCTCGCCCCTCTGCCCCAGCTGGGAGCCCCCAGGGGCGGCACTATCGGGCTGTTTGAAGCTCCGCATGAAAGCGGCAGGGTCCTGGGGGGGCTCCTGACCTGGCACCACTCCGAACACCCCTGCGGCAGCAATGCGCAGGTGGCTCAGGCGTGTGCTCCCAGTCCTGGTTGTGACTCCTTCCCAGCAGCCCCAGGAGGCCACATCTGAGGCAGGGATGCTTTGCTTTTTATTGTGGGGGTCTCTTTCCCCACTCTTTGGGATACTGGGGTGGCAATGAAAAAACGGACCATGGGAAATTTCACACGGAGCCTGGGGAAGGTGGGGTTCCCTGGTCTAGGCTCACAGGGTGTTTACCAATTTGTAATAACTCCCCAAGACCCGAAGTGGGTGCTGGCCTTATCCCACATGACAGGCGGGAGGGTGGGGCAGCAGGTGAGCATCCCCTGGGGCCCCCCAGGGTGCAGGTGGAGGGGCTCTTCTGCCACCTCTCGGTGTGGCAGGCACACTGCAGGTCAGATCTGCACCTGTCCGCCCAAAAGAGCAGCTGCATGAGCCAGGAAGTGCCCTCCAGACCCGTCCCGAGCCTGACACGCAGGTGGCCTCTCATTAGTCCTTCTGGGACTGGTCAGGGACGTGGTCAAAGGCCTGGTATCAAGTATTCCCTTTCCCTGCAAATGGTGAGGGAGGCCTTGCCCTTCTACCACTAATGTGATCATCCTGCTGCCCACCACCAATCACAGCACTACTGTAACAAGGAAACAGCCAGCGGATTGCTACAGGTTCCTTTCTTCCTCCCTGGCCCTTCCTGAGGCCGCTGGGTCTCAGATTTCTGACGCTGAGCCCCTAGGTACTGGGGAAGACCCAAGTGTGGAACTCAGGGGAGATTCACCTACTATAATCTTGCTCATCAAAGCAGTCCACCTTCAATATGTTTTTGTTTCATACTTTTTAACAACAAAGTTGTTTTTTGTTCAACACTGAAGATGCAGAAAAAGCAGGCCTGGGGCAAAACAGATTTCTATTAACTAATTTAGTTGCAGCCCAGGTTGGGTCCCATTGTGCTGGAAGCTAATGAGAATCCGCTGGGAGACAAAAGCCGCCCTCGCCAGGAGGCCAGGGAGGGCACTAATGCTCCTGAGAGGGAGGATGGGCCACCAGTTCAGTGTGGAGCGTGTGGGATGGAAACAAAGCTTGTGGAAAGATCAAAGTGGATGGGGACCCAAGCGAGGGAGGGAGCAGACTGGAAAGTAACAGTAAGTGGGCAGGCAGGGACAGGCGAGGGGCAGCGAGGCTCGGCAGCGGGGGCTTCTGGCCAGTGTGGGGTTCTCGTCTGCATGGACTCCAGGAGGGTACAGGGCTCACGCTGCTCAGGTAGCTGCCTCTCGCTCCCGAGTGCAGGAGGGAGGGGCTCTTCCAAGAGGCTTTGGATCAGCTGCCAGCCCGCGCTGGCGAAGGGGCTCCCCAGGTCCTCTCCATACCGTGTGTCAGGAGCTCTGGCAGCCTGGCCCTGAGTCCGGGACCCTGCTATTTTAGCTGAACGCCGGCGGGGAGGAGGGTGGGGTCTGCCAATGGCACGAACCCCACAGAGCTGAGCCACCACAGGTCACCTCACTTGATCCCCACGATAGCCTGACGACGAGGGCCTGTCATTAGGCCACCAGGGGGTCGGGTGCCTGTTCACGTCAGGAAGCCCATGCCTGAGTGCCCGCACTAAGCCTCCAGCCGAGGCTCGGGCTCCAGGCCTTCTGCAGTGGACGGGAGCTGGGCATAAGTGGGTTCTCCTCCAGGGGAGGGAACCTCAGCTTCCGACTCACAGCCCAGCCCCTGCACTTAGACCCACCCCGCACTTGGCACCGTGAGCACCAACCCTGCCCGGCTAGGTCTGACCCGGGTGCCCCGACTCCAGGCCCCCCGAGCCTCCCCGTCGGGGCCGCAGAGGGGAAGTGGCCAGATGGCAGGCGGTGGCATCACCCAGGGAAACAACGCACAGTTCAAGGAAAGAGCAGGGACCGGGTGCGGGAGCCCAGACAGCCTGGGACTCGGTGGTGACAGAGGACCAGAGGCAGGAGGGGGACTCGGAAGCAGACATTAGTGCTCGGGAAGAAGGTCGGCTGGCGGCACTGCTGGGTGCCAGCCAGGGACGGGCACACAGCCCTGTCTGCAGCAGGGCCCTGCCTCTGCTTCAGGCTTCACCTTGCGCTTTCTTCCTCTATCAACTCGGGAATTGGATTTGATTTGAATGAAAATGCATTAATCCTCCCAGGGTTTCTTCAACAGAGGGCCTCGAGGCCCTAGGGCTATACCACTGTGCTGGGCACGGCACCCAACTGGGAGGTGGCAGCTGACCGTGGCCTCTGAGCAGCCCCAGGGAATGGCCACTGTGGGGCACTGCTGTTCCCACTGCCAGGGGCTAGGACCGGGCCAAGCTGGGTAACTCCTCCACACTCTTCCAGACTGAGGCATCCAGCTGCAGGGCCCGCTGCGTACAGCCCCAAAGCCTTTCTCCACTAAGCCAGGACAGCTAGGGCCTCTGACAGGTGATAGCATTCCCCGCAGGATTAATAAATAGGAAAGTTAAGTACCCAAGTGTTTAGAAGTTGCTCACTTAAAAAGAGCCCCAGGCTGGGGATTTAGCTCAGTGGTTTTGCCACCTGCTGCACAAGCGCAAGGACCCAAGCTCGATCCCTGGTACCTTCTGGCTTCCCTCCAGCCAACACCTGCTTGCAGGTGAAGAGCAGATTCTCTTGGACTCTGGGGACAGAAGAGCTCAAACCTGGGTCATTCTCACTGCCGGGAGACCTGGACCACACCCCACTGGCCCCAGTGACGGAGTGAGGCTGGGATCAGGGCTGAGTGGTCCTGCAGGCCAATGATGCCCCATCCGCAAGTCAAGTTCCGCATCCTGAAGGTAAACAGGGATGAGCTCAGCCCTCAGCCCCACCTTCTGCTCTTTTTAAAAGGCCAGCAGATCCCAGCGGGTAGCAGTGGTGCCTGCCTGCTGTCCTGTGAGCTGCCTTCATGAGGCACCCAGTCTCTGGGCCGGTGGGAAAGAGCAGGGCGAATAGCTCAGGAGCAGGGGCAGGAGGCCAGTGTTGCCTCGGCATGGTGCGGTGCTCCGGCTGGAAATCCCCCAGCTTAGCCGGTCTCACTGGCTCCGAGCACCATCCTGGGGCAGCGGGGTCGGACACGTGCTACTTGCATGTGACCACTGTCCCCACAAACCGAGAAGCAACGGTGACTGTCACCCACTGGAGATCAGCTCAGGAGTCGGCGTCTCTCTCCTAAGAGCCTGGCTCTCCCTCCAGGCCCGGGCTCTGGGAGCCTCTGGAAGCAGCACATTCCCTGTGGGTGCTGAGTACAGGCGTGAGCCTCCCTAGTGCAGTGTGCGGCCGGTCACATGCTCTGAGGATGTGCCCTGTGACAGGGAGAACAGTTAGGACATATCAGGAGTGCTTCTCCCACAAAGAGGGCTGCAGAGAGGCGTCTCCAGTGGGGATGGAGTGTGGAGGGGAAGCGGGGATCTGGCTGTGATTATGCACCCCAGACCCTAATCTGGGCCTGGACTTGTGCGCCACAGGCTCAGCAGGGTGGAGGCCCGAAGAGGAGGCGCCGAGGCCCACGGGGACAGGATTACCTAGACGGGATCAATACTCCCTCCTCCGCTGACAGAGGGACCATATGCATGGCTGCGCAGGGTTAGGGCTGTCACTGGCCGGGCTGTGCGGCCGCCAGGGCGGCAGAGGCAGGGGAGACCTCTTGCCCAATCCGGCTCCCACCCTGATCCAGCTCTGTCTGAGAAGGTGACACGCGGGATCAGCACTCAACAGTCTCTGGCACAACCAGGGCTTCCATCAACGAGTGTGTATTTGGATTTCGGGGGGCCAAACCCATCTTCTTTAGAGTCCCGGCCAAGAAGATGCCAGGGAAGCCCCTCCACACCCTGGCCCTGGGTGCAGAGGGGCTGCAGATGGCCTGTGCAGCTGGCTACAGGGTCCTGCAAAGGCCCCCGAGGACCTGGAGCCCAGCCGTGGCTGTCACCCCGACACCCTGCAACCCGGCTGCAAGGCTCCCTGGTGTGGGATAACCCGGGGCTGCACTGCGGCTGTCCTCGGGCCAAGTCCTGCTCAGCTCAGGCCTCAGCCAGGGCTTCCTGCCTCCCAGCACAGCCCTCTGAACACCGGCCAGACCTGTGGGCCGAGGCCACGCCCATCACGTTTTGTCCTCCCTGGGCCCCGTCAGAGCCTGGGGAGCAGCGTGGCTCCGCCCTGAGTGAATGGATTAGCGCAGGAGCCCGTTTACAGGGAGGCAGGGGCGGGGCGGGGCAGGGAGCTCTCCGGGGTCCTGATCGCCTTCCACTTCAGCTGGAGGCCTGGAGCAGCGTGAGGAGATACACAGAAGGGTCCTTGACATTTCTTGGGATTAAGGAATTAAGACTCTTCATTTAGAGGGAAAAAAAAGTACAGTGCTTTCCATTTGGTAAAATGCCAGGTTCTGCCACTGGCTTCCAGGAAAGCCCCAGCGCAGAGCACCTGAACTCTGCACCCACACAGTGGGCTGATTTCTGCAGGGACACCATGCAGTCAGAAAAACATCCCGAGATGACACAGACAGCGCTAACCGGAAGTCGGGGCAGTGCCTCCATCTCAGGCACCCTGGGATCCTGCCGGACATCAGGGCTGTGCACAGGGTGCTG